GCACACGCCACCATGCCCAGCTAATGTTTTGTATTTTTAGTAGAGACGGGGTTTCACCATGTTGACCAGGATGGTCTCGATCTCTTGACCTTGTGATCCACCTGCCTCAGCCTCCCAAAGTGCTGGGATTACAGGCGTGAGCCACCGCGCCCGGCCAAAATGCACATTTTTTTTCAATGCTAGATACATTCGCTTCTCCAAAAAAAAAGTTGATATAAAGAAAAGGCGTAATTTGAGCATAACATCCACATAAAAAGTTAAAATGTTATTTTAAACAAAAACATCACACTGTGCCCTTATCTGCATGAAGAAATGCATAATGAGAAGGAATACAAATTTCCTGACCAAATGGTCTCTGTTCTAAAAATCACATTAAAATTATAAAGGTAAACACATCGAAATTGGAAGAAAAACCAAGAGAAAAAGCGCATGAACTTAAGCGCAGCAGGCTGTCCTGAAAGCTTGACTAAGAATGACAGCAAACCCCTCACAAAACCCTTCTGAGAAGCCCTAAGGCTCAAATATTTTCCATTACAGAAAAGGGCACAGTCTTATGTCAACCCACATGGAGACTCAGTGATCCAGTTACCTGTCTGAGTGTTACCAATGTGTTGACTTAGCATCATTGATATGGTTTGGCTGTGTCCCCACTCAAATCTCATATTGAATTGTAGCTCCCATAATTCCCACATGTTGTGGGAGGGACCTGGTAGGAGGTAATTGAATTATGGGGGTGAGTCTTTCCCATGCTGTTCTCATGATAGTGAATAAGTCTCATGAGATCTGATGGTTTTATGAAAGGGAGTTCCCTTGCACAAGCTCCCTCTTGCCTGCCACGATGTAAGACATGCCTTTCTCCTCTTTTGCCTTCCACCATGACTGTGAGGCCTCCTCACCAGCCATGTGGAACTGTGAGTTCATTAAACCTCTTTTTCTATACAAATTAACCAGACCTGGGTATGTCTTTATTAGTAGCATAAGAACTGAGTAACACAATCATTGTTCTTCTCAACGGGAGACCCAGAGATTACTGACAATGAATTCTTGGCCTACCAATGAATGAATTTGGGCTAAAAAACACCTTCTGCCCATTCTTTGCCTGGCTCACACCTACATTTCCTTCGACCCTTAGCACAGGTGTTGTCTCCTTCAGTCCGTATTAAATGTCCCTCCTCTATACCACCACTGTGACCTGTTCTTGGTTCTATTCATAGGCCCATTCAACAAATATTTGCCAAGTGCCTCTTAGATATTAGGCCATTTTTGTATTGTGTTGGTGTACCAAGGCTACATCATAAAATGCTTAGCCCTCTAGACTTACATTCTAGACAAAAACATAATACAGTTGACCCTTGAACAACACAGGGATTATGGGCACTGACACCCTTCCCTACACAGTTGAAAATCTGTGTAAAACTTTTGACTTCCCCAAAACTTAACTATTAAGAGCCTACTGTTGACTAGAGACCTTACCATAAACAGTTGATTAACACATATTTTGTTTGTTATAGGTATTATATTCTGTATTCTTACAATAAAAGTAAACTGGAAAAAAGAAAATGTTATTTAAAAATCATTGAGAAAAAAATAAAATCAGCATTGACTAGACGATGAAAAAAATCATAAGAAACAGAAAATAAATTTCCTATTCATAGTGAAAATGGATCATCATCAAAGTCCTCATCCTCATCATCTTCATCTTGAGTAGGCTGAGGAGGAGAAGGAAGAGGGGTTGGTCTTGGTGTCTCAGGGATAGCAGAGGTGGAAGAGAATCTGCATATAAGTGACCCTTGCAGCTCAAACCAATGTGGTTCAAGGGTCTACTGTAAGGTTTTTTGTTTGTTTGTTTGTTTGTTTGGTGTTTTTTGTTTTTTGTTTTTTTAGACAAAGTCTCACTCTGTCGCACAGGCTGGAGTGCAGTCATGTGATCTCGGCTCACTGCAACCTCTGCCTCCCTAGTTAAGCGATTCTCCTGCCTCAGCCTCCCAAGTAGCTGGGACCATAGGCACCCACCACCACACCCAGCTATTTTTTTTATTTTTAGTAGAGACAGGGTTTCACCGTGTTAACCAGGATGGTCTCGATCTCCTGATCTCATGATCCACCTGCCTCGGCCTCCCAAACTGCTGGGATTACAGGCATGAACCACCACGCCCGGCCAGTCAACTGTAAGTTTTATGGCACCTTAGCAAGGTATTAATACTATGAGAAAGGAAAAGGGAGAACCAAGTTAGGGAGATTAGGGATGCTGGCAGAGGTGGGGACTGCAATTTGAAATCTGATCTCCTTGAGATGGTGACATTTACGCAAAGATTTAAAAGCAGTAAGGGACTGAACCATGAGGCGGTCTGGGAGAAAAACATTCCCACAGAGGAAGAGCCAGTACAAAAGCTCATGCAGAAGTGTTTCTGGTAAGAAAGCAAGAAGTGAAAGTGAAATGAAAAGCAAATAGAAGCAAGATTGCCACTGGCTCTGGGGCAGATTGATAGAAAACTGTAGCGAATGAGGTCAGAGAGGTAATGAAGATGGTGTCAAGAAGAGACATGAAGACCATTTTAAAATTCCGATTTTACTCTGAAGTTCATGGGGTACCACTGGAGGGCTTGGGGCAGAAGAGCACATGATCTGACTTATGTTTCAAACACTTTCACTCTGGCTGCTGTTAGTAAGGGCAGAAGAAGGGAGGCCAGGTAGGAGGCTATGGGAACATTCAGGAAGGAGATGCCGGGAGCTTGGATGATAGTGAGGATGGTGACAACAGCGAAAATGGTGAGATGTGATCTTATTCTGGATATATTCAGAAAATGGCTGGTTAAACACAGAGCCAACGGGATTTGCTAACACATCACAGGTGGGGTCTGAGGGAGACACACAAGGATGATGCCAAGGTTTGTTGGGGTTTTTTGGTTTTTGGTTTTTTTCTGAGCCACTGGAAGAATGGAGTACTGATTACACCAGGTTATACTCATTGTTTTGCTTTGTTTGGTTTGGTGGGTGCACATCATCCAACCTTGAGCATCTGGAGGGAAGAACTATTTTGCATCCATGTATAAGATGCTAGTATTTACACTTACTTGATTCTCCACTGCTCTGGGCACATGGAAAGAGTACAAATGCCTTTCTCCTTGTTCTGCTGAACAGGGGTATGAGTGGAAGTGATCAGGTTACCTCTATGCTGAAGCATCTGATCGTTCTTGTAGGACTTCCTAACATTCTCTTCCTCAGGTCAGTGACTAAGGGGGCCGTATGTTCAGATGGCGCAGGCTGGGTTCTTGAATGATTCTATGGAGCAGAGCCCCCACCAAAACCCTCTGTTGAACATGAAGCATACACACAAGAAACACAATTTTGTTGTGTTGAGCCTCTAATGTAGTGCTTGTTACTAACCTATCCTAACAATCTCCAAAGCCTAGCATAAGACATCGTACTAGTAGTCATTGAAGAACGCTTTCTGAATGAATGAAAGAATGAATGAACAATGATATTAACCTCTTTGTCCTTGAATTGTTCTACATTACAACCGGGAAGTTTACCAGTAACTTAGTCCTATATATTAGGGATAGAAGAAAGGCTGTGTGAATGGTTTGAGGGCCACATAAAGCTGTAGCATTACCATCACCACATCCAAATGACAGTATCATTAAACATTTATTAGAACAGAAGCCGAAGAAATGCAGGAAATAGGGTCAGAAAAAAACTCATTTACAGCCAAAGCCCACCCCACCATGCCCGCCTCATCCAGTGATCTCCATAAGACCCTGAATGGACTGCCCTGGGACATGTCTGAATGCCCATCTTTGCTGGAGGCACAGCCCCAGTGGCCATGCCTTGCACGGTGCCACCACCCTGCCTGTGGAACGTCCTGTAATGCCCTGCAGCCATCGTCCTTCCTTTCTCACCAGTTTCTATGGCCTTAGGTGGAGCCTACCTTGCGGGGCCCACTCCACTTCCCTCCTCTGCATGCCTAGTTATCAACTGCCTTTATTACCATCTTCTCAGTCCCACCCAACCTCTGGAAATCTCGCTGGGCAGCGATTTCTAAACAGCGTAAAATATACACAGTTGATTCTCCTTATTCACAGTATCGTAGTTATGTACTATAAAATGTCTGTGAACACTGAATTAGGGAATAATGAAACATTGCTCCTAGGAGAAATATGGGATAGGTTCCCATGAGCCCCCGGTCACAACACATTCCCCAATCAGTCGACACATAACCTTGTTCTATGTGTGTTTCTGTTTAAAAACACCTTATTTAAAGTGTATTATTGATTCATGAGCATTGCACTCTGGCCAACAGCACTCTAACACATGCCTGAATGAAGTTTATGGAGCACCCATGTCTTCTCCATTAGGCCCATCACAGCCTTCTCGTGCTTAGTAGCACTAGACGGCACTGGCACTGTGCTTAGGGGCCATTTGAAACAGTGAACTCACCAATAAAGAACACAAAAAAGTAAAAAAAAAAAAAAAAAAAAAAAAA